GGAGACAGGATACAAAATGAGCATATACGTGAAAAGGTTGAGTAACTCCAGTAGAGATAAGATTAGAGAGAGTCGCCTTAGATGGTTTGGTCACAATAAAAGGCTGCCTTCCGATGACTAGTTAGTAAAGTAGAGGTATTAAATTTGACTTATGTTAAGAAAGTAGAGCAAACCTAAAAAACTTGGTTAGAAAATATTAGGAATGATCTTTTCTATTAGATTTAAACATGAATTTGACTTTTAATAAGACACAATGGAGAAAAAGGATTCATGTAGCCGACCGCACGTCAGTGGGATAAAGACTTGATGTTGTTGTTGTGTTGTTTGAATGAGAGTGTTCTCACTTTTAAGTTTCATTTTTTTGTTCTTAATAGCAAATTAATCATGGTACTACAATTGAATATCGTGTTTAAATCAATTTCAGTGATTAAATTTTTAAATGAAGGAACACAAGATTTCAAAAGAACATGTGATTATTATTTGTGTACAAAAAAAAAATTAGTTATTAAATATTAAATTATTTTAATTTATATTATAAAAAACATTATGTGCATGAATTTTATTTATTTTTACCATATTTTGCATTTAAATATTATTTTTATATTTTATATCATTCAATCATATTAAATAATTTCAATATTTATTAAATCATTTAGTTTACATCTTCGCTCCAATCATTGAACTATGTCACAATCAATCTTCAAGTGTTATATCTTTGCTTTTACAAACTTTACTTATAATATTTAAATTTGTGTATAAGACGCAGCAAATTTTAGTCTATTGGTAGGGAAGTTTTGGCTATCAACCAAGATGTTTGAGTTCTAGTTTATGCAAGGTTGTGAAAATCAGATCGGACAAGAACCGAAAGAAGGAGATGTTCATTGTTCAACCAGTCGTACCGGACTGTTGAACCGAAGAACAAATAAATAATTAATATTATTATAAAATTAGTAAAGAATTGTAATATGAAATATAATAACTATATAATTTAATTCAAAATTATTGTTAATTTTTATTACATATTTAGATATAAAATATAAATAAATAAAAATTTTTATGAAAAACCCCGATCAGTTGTTTATAAATTAAATATAAAAAATTAAATATATATAAAAAAAATTATTAACTAAAAAAGAAAAATTTCCCCAAACAATTAAAAAAAATATTCATGTTAAAAATTAATTTTTTATTAAATATAATCAAAATATAAAAAATAAATGATAAAAATAAAATAAATATTATTCATCTAAGAAAATAAATATTATTCATATTTATAAAAATTAATATTGTGTTAAACAATGGAGGTTTGGTCGACCGATTCGATCCGCTTTTAAAATGTTGTTTTACGTATGTGATATGGTATGTGAATTTATTTAAATTGACCTAAATGTAAAAAATTGCTATAAAAACATGTAAAAAGAACAATTTCTTATTATTCTTATTTTTTAGCTGAGTTAATCCTTCCCCTCTTCTAATAATTTAGAATAGTTGTTTACAAAGAAAAATGGACATTGTAACTTATCGTACACGTTTTGCAATGAAACGTAACTGATGTTCAGAATTCAAAAAGAGGCATAAATATGAGGATGGAGATCTTTGAGGTTGCAAACGTTGGAAAGAGTAATTGTTTTAAATATGGCATTTGTTTAATGTAGCATAAATTTCAAATTATGGCATTCATTGTCACCAATTAAGATAGGGATACCACGAATTACTAATAGTATTAACCAAAAAATTAATCTTACAGTCATCAAGTCAATCTTCCGATTTCATTTGAAATAACTTTTTATTAATTTTAAAGCACTTTTTTAATATTATTTTTTTATTATTAAAAACTTTTATTCTACAAAAAATTATTTCCAAGATAAATTTCTTACTATTTTAATTTTCAAATTACAATTATAATTTTGTTTGACTACTATATTCTTGTTGGTTTCAAAAAAAATTTATACTAGAAAATTAATTTTTTAAAATTTTAAAAAAAATTTATTTTTCTCCTGATAAATTTGCAATCATATTTACAAAAAGTTAATCTCATCTCAAATAGACATTCATTTTAATTGTGCTTGTTTATATAAGTATTCTATATATATATATATATATATATATATATATATATACGGCATTAATTTGATAGATTTAATTCTCCTAAGCCTATTCGTTAGCAGCTTAAACTTCCATTTGGAGTTTTCCTGGATTGCGTGCATAATTTATGATTATATTCACTCCAATTCGAACATAAAAAAAATTGATTGGTGGATTTAAATCTTACCATTTTGATAATAATTTTAAGATTTTTTTTGGGGGGAAGTAATAATTTTTAAGATTTTTATCCACTAAGATTTTTAAAATCAACCATTATATTTTCCATTTTACTTGAAACAGATCTGTGGACTACAGAACTCTTCTCGTTCAAATTTCCATAATTGCATATAAAATCTGCCTTCTCTTGCTATCTGTCATTCCTTACAGCTTCCTGCTTCTCAGTTCTTTCCACAGTTTCGTGATCTGAGAGGATCAGTCAATTCTCTCCGATTCTTGTAATCGCCGCAAAGTTCAAAACTGTAGCGCACGAGCAGCGAAAGATCTGAGTAAGCTTCTTCTAGTCCATGGATTTACATATTAAAGACCATTTTACTTACCCCTGTGATTCCTTTCTCTGCAGACCATCAACCAGAAAGCAACAATGGGTCGAGCTACAAGATGGCTGACTAACTTATTGGGAGGCAAAAAAGAAGGCAGAGAACACAAAGAAACAATGGCGTTCGCTGCCGCTTTAGCTCCAAGCATTGATAACCAAATGGAGAAGAAGAGGTGGAGTTACATGTCAGGGAGGATTTCCTGCGACATGGCGTGGCTTCGTTCAATGTATGCAGAAAAAGAGAAGGAGCAGAGAAAGCACATTATTGCAGTCGCAGCCGCGACAGCTGCAGCTGCCGAAGCAGCGGTGGCTGCGGCTCAGGCGGCAGTGGCGGTGGTACGTCTGACGAATCAAAGCCATCGTGTCATTTTATGCGGCATTCATGAGCAGCTTGCAGCCCTTAAGATCCAAACAGTATTCAGAGGTTATCTAGTAAGTTTAATTCCCTTCTTATATGCCATTCATATACTTCTCTGCGGTGATTCTGAGCTTCTTCAGCCTAACTATTCGTTTCAATTTCTCCTTTTGTTGGTTTCTCGGCGTCATTTGCAGGCAAAGAAGGCTTTGAGAGCTTTGAAAGCTCTGGTTAAGCTGCAAGCTTTAGTTCGAGGCTATATAGTTCGGAAAAAAGCCGCGGCCACTCTTCGTAGTATACAAGCTCTCATGAGAGCTCAGGCAACAGTTAGAACCAAAAAGTTCCGATCTCTTCCCCGAAAATCTCGTTCTTATAAGCCATTACAGGAAAGATTTGACGAGGCATCGTTCCAAAGCCAGAGACTCAACGGCATCGATACTTACCGTCTTAAATCGAGATCGTCTCGAAGAACAAGCCTTTCCGATATGGATGAGAGCTTCTTCAATTCAATGTCCTCTGCTATCCCCTGCCCTGTTGAGACGCGGAGGTGCTCCTCCACAGCACAGAACACACCGCGGTGGTTGAACTCAGGTCTAAGCTTTGCCCCGCCTTCTCCGACGAAGAGCGTCCGCGGTGCATCTAACGGGGTTTTCCAGCGTTTATTGAACTCTGCGGATAATAGTCCGAGTTTCATGTCTAGTACAAAGTCCTTTGAGGCGAAGGTGCGGTGGAATAAAGGATTAAAGCAGAGGGCAGAGGGCCATGGTTTTGGGAAGCGAGTTCCCCTAAGTGAGCTGGTCGTCGTCGAGCAGTCGAGAGGAAGACCAAGCTCTCCGGTGAGTGAGACCTTCAATTTCCGGAGTGCGATAATGGAAAAGCTTAATAGGCCTCCGGAGTTTAGCGGGGAAGTTGAGAAGCGCTTCTGTTTCAAATGAATTAAAGATCTCTCATTTTTATGAACAATTATTACGTCCTCCGACCGGACGTAGAGGAACGTCCAGTCGGAGGCAAATTCCTGCCAAAAAACGAGTTGTACCGAGCAAATATCGAGCAATATCAAACAATAACGAAGAATACCATCATTTGAAGACCCAATACCGAGTTATACCGGGCTTTACCGAGCAAATACCGAGTTATACCAAAGTTGTACCGAGTTTTTCCCAGAAAAACTCGGTACAACTCGGTATTTCTCGGTACAGCTCGGTATAACTCGGTATTGTTCTTCATAGAACGGTATTCTTCATTATTATCAAATAATACCTAGTTGTACAGAGCAAATACCTAGTTTTTGGACGGGAAATTGCCTCCGACCGGACGTTCCTCTACGTCCTTGCACCGAACGTAATAAAAGTTCCTTTTTTATTTTTTTTTCTTTTGGTCGCTGTGACTGCAGGAACCTGTATTGAGAAAGGAAGTTTTTTCTTGTAAATTCTTCGAACCAATCAGAGCAGAAAGTCAAGTAGCTATCTTTTAATTGTTTTTAATTCTGAATATTTTCAAGCTATATATATTTTTTTTCATGAGTTGATATAAAAGTTATAAGTACATAATAAGAATTTAAAAAGGGTGTAATGAGATTAAAAAGAATTATTTTTAAAGTAAAAAAATGTTGATGTGACCCAGAGTGAAAATCCTTTCATATTGATCTTAACTTTAATCTGAAAAGTATTTAATTGCTAAATAATATATTAATTTTGGATTTGATTACTGTATAATTAGGAAATTTAATTGACACTTTTATAAGGAAATTTTCTTATTATATTTTATTTTCAAATCTATTTAAATGCTTGTGGGTTGTTATATGGGAGTATAGAAAAATAGAGAGCTAATTGTAACTCAATTTTCTTCAATATAGTGAAATCATCCACTCTTTGTGGACGCAGACAATTGTTTGTCGAACCATGTAAATTGATGTGTTTGAATGTGTTTGTTTTGTTTGCTCCCACTATGATTTGCACAACAATTAGTATCAATGACTGATTTCAATGAGATTTTTTTGGCAGTTACTTGAAGAATGCGAGCTTGTTCATGTGGATCGTTCAGTAGGCGAAGGAAAAGCTCTGCACGTAAGCTCGATCGCGGGTGCAAGCCACTCAAGAGCAAGGGCCACCTGCACACATATGACACTAGATAACTTTGTAACGAGCCTAATAGCTTATAGATTAAAAATTAATTCTTTTTAATCTAAAAGATAAACAATCTGCTTTCCTACTTGATAGTTCATGCATAGGTGATTCTTAGATCAATCTAAGGTAATCCAATAGTTAAATAATGTTTAGATAATTTTGATAATTTGTGCACGCTAGAATGAAATAAATTATTATGCTAAAATTATGGATCATTATAATATGCTTTAATTATTTTTGGCTACTAGAAGATAAATGACTTAATTCATATAAGAATATATTTGTATATATGACCTAAACTTCACCCATTAAATTAATTAAATATTGAACATAAGTGAAGTAAACCTCCTACTTATTCTATTGAGCAAATAATACAAGTTCTTTTATCATGTATCTTGATATTTTCTATCTAAGTACAATTTGCCTTCACTAGTTCTAATTAAAGTGAAAGAATACTAACATAAGAATTCAACCAATCACATTAGGAACTCAAATTGCTTTGGGTAATTATGAAGGGATTGAGTATTAAAAGTGATCTAACAACATATATACATCTGTAAGCGTAGGGATCCAAATATATTGAGGTACTTTATGTGCAATTATACCATTATAATATCTAAAACGTGTCTTGAGCTATCAAAAATATTGTATCTAACATTTTTGTGTGCATATGGTCAATAACGTGGAAAGTTTTTAGAGTTAGATAAATCACTAGATATAATTATATTAGATTTATTCAAATATTATAGATATTCAATCTTGGCTTCAAATTAGATCTTTCTTTAAGCATCTATCACATAAAGATGCCTCGGCAAATAAATGATATTTTTATTTTGGAGAACATCATAATTCATTTTGCAGCTCAATAAGTATTTGAATCATCTTTCTTTAAGATTATTCATTTTTGAGTTTGACTAGAATATTATTCATTTATCTTAAGGCATGTCATTTACCATCCAAAGAATCATCAATAACCATGAGACATATTTACTTCATGATTTGATGAATCTATTGGTGCCTTCTCATTGTCTGATTCTACCAAAGTGACTTTTAATGCCTTCTTTTTCTTGTTTTATGTGTGCTTTACTTTTCAAACACTTTTATTTATAATATATTTTAGTTTGAAGTAGTTATGCTTTCTCTTTTTATCTGTAGGGTTAATTTTTAATATATTTTGAAATTACTGACTATGTTTCTTAAAATTTCTCTCATAGTCACAATCTCTTAGATTGCCTCATTTTCAAGAGTTCATGTTCTTACATCAAGATGATAATTCTTATTTCTCTTATCACATAACTACCCTAGTATATTAAAGACTAGGTTTTTCCATATATCCTTCCTTGCTCATAGATTGCATACTTTACATATTCATCATATGTTAAAGCATGGTATAAATTAGTAACTCCCTTACATTCAATAGTATCATATGTATTTTCGAAGGAGTTTATCTTTAATGGTCTTTAGAATTTCTTTATCATAAGTAGTCAAAATAATGTAACTTTTATAACAATTCAAATTTAGTTTTCAAATTATCATGCTATAATATTATTAACACATCATCATTCTACTCCTTTATAAATTAAAAGGAATGTCATCAAATAAATGTTGTCTTGCTGTGGACGTCCCTTATCTAGTAGTAGCTATCTTCTTATTTTGAACTTTAATGCTTCGTTCACTTCTTCTTGTATTCGCATCTTGATAAGTATAATTAATGTGCTATTTTATGTGTTATATTTTTTACTAAAAATGTGTTATTTTAGCTGTATTGTGCATGAAAAATATAAAAAAGACATAAAAGTCTAAGTTTCATATAGCACCGTAGTGTCATAACAAACAATGTTGCATCACCATCAAAGACACTGCCAGAGTGCAAGAATATTAACATTACAACGCCAACTTCTCTGTCAGACAACACCATAGAGTCAAAAGTTTAGCTTTGTAGTGACATTTTCTCTACCATTCAACAGCGCAACATCACACTCTATAGTGCCTCGGTGCCCAAATTGCTCTTTCTGTGCCGCAACATTTAAAATTCAATAGCGTTGTGGCATAGCAATTATAATTTTCCAAATATACAATGTGTCAGCAAAATGACGTGATAGTGCACTAAATAACTAACATACATCAACAAGTGCCACTACTGAGCCAGATAAGTCGCACAACGACATTAATTCAATTATTGGGAGCAATGGCACCGATATTTCAAGCGTTACAACTATAGCTATCTACATTTACCATCCAAAGAATCATCAATAACCATGAGACATATTTACTTCATGATTTGATGAATCTATTGGTGCCTTCTCATTGTCTGATTCTACCAAAGTGACTTTTAATGCCTTCTTTTTCTTGTTTTATGTGTGCTTTACTTTTCAAACACTTTTATTTATAATATATTTTAGTTTGAAGTAGTTATGCTTTCTCTTTTTATCTGTAGGGTTAATTTTTAATATATTTTGAAATTACTGACTATGTTTCTTAAAATTTCTCTCATAGTCACAATCTCTTAGATTGCCTCATTTTCAAGAGTTCATGTTCTTACATCAAGATGATAATTCTTATTTCTCTTATCACATAACTACCCTAGTATATTAAAGACTAGGTTTTTCCATATATCCTTCCTTGCTCATAGATTGCATACTTTACATATTCATCATATGTTAAAGCATGGTATAAATTAGTAACTCCATTACATTCAATAGTATCATATGTATTTTCAAAGGAATTTATCTTTAATGGTCTTGGAATTTCTTTATCATAAGTAGTCAAAATAATGTAACTTCTATAACAATTCAAATTTAGGTTTCAAATTATCATGCTATAATATCATTAACACATCATCACTCTACTCCTTTATAAATTATAAGGAATGTCATCAAATAAAGGTTGTCTTGTTGTGGACGTCCCTTATCTAGTAGTAGCTATCTTCTTATTTTGGACTTTAATGCTTCATTCACTTCTTCTTGTATTCGCATCTTGATAAGTATAATTAATGTGCTATTTTATGTGTTATATTTTTACTAAAAATGTGTTATTTTAGCTGTATTGTGCAGGAAAAATATAAAAAAGACTTAAAAGTCTAAGTTTCATATAGCACCGTAGTGTCATAACAAACAATGTTGCATCACCATCAAAGACATGCTAGAATGCAAGAATATTAACATTACAGTGCCAACTTCTCTGTCAGAAAACACCGCAGAGTCAAAAGTTTAGCTTTGCAGTGACATTTTCTCTACAATTCAGCGGCGCAATGTCACACTCTATAATGCCTCGGTGCCCAAATTGCTCTTTCTGTTCCGCAACATTCAAAACTCAATAGCACTGTGGCATAGCAATTATAACTTTCCAAGGATATGATGTGTCAGCAAAATGGCGTGATAGTGCACTAAATAACTAATATACATCAACAAGTGCCACTACTGAGCCAGAGAAGTCGCACAACGACATTAATTCAATTATTGGGAGCAATGGCACCGATATTTCAAGCATTGCAACTGTAGCTATCTAATTTGTGTTTTCAGTCATTTAGATCATTTCCGTATAATTCAGAGTGTTTCTCTGAATTTCTCTTAGGGTGATAAGTAAGGGAATTTAAATAAGTACTTGATATCATCAATAGAGTGTTTGGATTATATTTGTGGAAGCAATTCTGTAAGTAAAAGAAGAAATGTATAAGAGATTTATTGAACCTTTCTAGTGATATCTATATATCTCTTGTATTTTCTTTCTATCATGCTAATAATAAAAATGAGTTTACTTCAATTTTATTCTATGTTTGGTTAAATTCTATAGTTTTGGATTAATGATGTTGATATCATATGTACTAATGAGTTATCTTATTTCTCAAATGATTAAAATAATATTTTTAATATTACCATATCATAATTTAATGCACATAGTGATAAATGTGTAGTTAAAATTTGGTGTAATATGTCTTGACGGAGGGAAGTAAGCATAACCATATATATTGAACTAGTATGCATCAAACCTAGCATAGGGTATGAAATGTATTAAATTCTTAAGTAGATGTAATAACTATAGAGAATCAGTGGACATCCTTTATTCCTATAAGCTCGATAGGGATCTAGGTATATATATGCTCTGAATAACTTCATAATTAAAAGAGATTTATTAAAATATATATTATTTATATTCATCAATCAAAAATATTGTTATATCCTTATAGTGTATCCATTATCTTTATCTAATTTTGTTTA